TTCGCTTCCGCATTTGATATTTTTAATATACATTCCATTTTAAATTTCCGGGGCTGTTTCAACTACTGGACCCTCTAGAACCATGTACCTGTAGCGGATATTGTCCACTGTTGTGCCATCTCACTTGGCCTCCTCGACTTTGGTTGTATCCTCCAGAACTTCCACTTGGAGGATGCATAGTCCGACCTCCAGACCAGCGTTGAGTGTGAGATTGCCAGGTATGTTTAACAGGATGCAGTGGAGTATGCTGCTGCAGATGCCGCAACCTCCTTGCTACTTTTTTTACGCTATTGCTGCCTCTTTTTCTTTGTCTGGAACTCGCGAGATGATTCATATTTAGGCAGGTTGTTAATGCAATAATAAAATTAAAAAGCAAGCATTAGGAAGATTTTATGTAAGGAAGATGCAAATATATCATGAGGTAACCAGATGAAAGTCAAAACAAGAAAATTGCATTGTCAAGCACAACAACACTTTGTTCAAGCACTTTCTCAAGCATATCATGTGATGTTGCCTTAACATCGAGCATGTATTAACTTTAACCCACTAGATGTCATGTGGAAGTGTCTTCCAACTTTCTCAAGCATTCTGTACTAATGATTTTCTTGGTAAGAAAAAAAAAAATTTCTGAGCATAATAATCAGCACGTCCTCATCTCTATAACTTCATAATTAAAATGATCTATTTATTAAAATTTTTACTTAGCCTAAATCCTAAATCTTAATTGTTTTCAAATATCTCTTTAACATTATATATATATAGTGATGTTCACGTTTTAAAAGTATTTTTATAATTAAATACAATTTTTTCTTTACTTAAAATGCAAAATTTACTTTTAACAAATTTAAAGACAAAAATTAAAATATGTAGATTTTATAAAATAGTTTTAATTTTCGTTAAAAATTTATATTTAAAATCTTAAAATTATCAAATTCTATACATACATACATACATTATTGACAGACTACTCTCATGGTGGATTGCTTCGTGTAGAACTATCTACACCCATATTGTGGTCTATGTAAATTGAACTCTTAGTTTCTTTTTCTTTTTCTTTTTTTACTCACACACACATACAACATGAGAGACTAATTGATTTGTTCTTCTTCTTCGTTGTTTTTGTCTTCTTTTTCTTCTTCTTATTGTTTCATAAGCGAATAGAAAGAAAAGTGGAAGAAATGGGGGAGGGAGGGAGGGAGGAAGGACGTTGTCAGTCTTGTTATTTATTTATTTTTATTTTATCAAAAAGTTATTATTTATACAAACTGAGTTTATCTATTCATATTTAAGTTTCATAATCCAACTATTTAAGTTTCAAAAGTTTAAATTTAAATTCTTAATAAAGTATAGAGCTCAATAAACAAGTATATACTTCTAATATAGAATTTGCATATTCAACCATGAACTCCCAAAATTTAAAATATTTTTTTTATAAAAAAAAAACATTTTAACAACAAAGAATTACTATAAATTATAATATGTAAATTGGTACAAGTAAAACCATTTAAGATAATTAACATTATTAACCCAACAGTTAAAAAACTTGTGTAACTTAATGTTGTAAATGCAAATTTTTTATAACAGTTTTCAATATATGAACATGTTTAAAAGAGGAGGAACTGAGAAATGTTTTTCCACTTTCTCCCCTCTTTTTTTTTTTCCTAAATTTTATTTTTAGTTGCCATAAAACTTTTAAAGCATATCAGATGGTTGGTTAGAGGAAATCCATGGGAACATCTCTGGAGTTCTTGGTGGACTTTCTTTTTTTTTTTTTTTCCTTCTCAAACAATAAGTTGAAAGTATCTCAAATTCTCTGATATCATATTGTCCCTTGACAATTAAAACTAAAAAAAAAAAAAAAAACTATTAATAAATAAAAATGAAGTCACAGAAAGATCCAGGGAAATAGTTTTTTCCCTCGGTTGTGTTAGGTAAAATGAACAGGTACTCCACCACCTCCCACAAAATATTGATAGAAAAGGAAAAACAATGTCCCTGAAAAATGCCAACCAAGAAAATGAAAAACCTCTTCTTTCCCCAGTATTAACTTTTTTCTCACTCTTTCCAGCCTCTCCAGGGCTTTAAAATGGATGCTGGAAAAAATATCTATGCTGACTCTACTTTCAGAACTATCTTCATGAACTCATATACGAAGTAACTAATGGCAGCCGATGGTAAAACCTGTAGAAAAAGAAAACCAGGAAGTTACGAGGTAAACTCTTTTAAAGTGAATGGCTAAGCAATTGTTGTAAACGGGAATCAAATTCAAACCCCTAGTAACCTCATCAGAAGAGTGCGAGCAAAGTTGAGCCAAAGGCTCTTGGCAGTTAAGAAGTAGATTTTTCTTTCTAGCAAACATAATTTAATATTTGGGAGTAAGCTGAGTGAAACTGAACTTTACAACCTCTAACTAGAGGTACATGTGACACCCTAACCATTCTACCAGGTTGATTGTCACCAGCTCCTAGCTAAGAATTGAACTTAAAACTAAAAATTTATTCCATCTCAAGTTTCCTCAGCTAACGAAACCTCAAAGAATTAACTCAAATAAATCAATGGTTCTGTTAAGAAAAGAAAAGGATATAAGTAATCAATGTATCACATAAGACAATTAAATGCATTTTAACTCCAAAGAGGTTGAAACATGCAAAGGAAAAGATTTGCAGTTGCAGACAACGGTTTGGTAAGCGAAGTTGGAAATTGAATAATAAAGGAAACAAAACACCAGCAGGGCATGCTACGGAGCGGGCCCCATAGATTTTTATGTGGTAAGCTATCTTCCACGGAAGAGGGAAAAAGAGAAAAAAAAAATGGCAAGCTGAATTGACCTCAACATACTAAGGTAAAGAGACTGGAGTTTGAGGGAGCCTGACAGTCCAAAAGTAGGCACTCCTTGTATTTGGTCCACAGAGCAGCCATATGAAAATTCCCCGAGTGAAATCCATTTCTAACTAAACCAGGCTAAGGGTCTAGTTAACAATGATCTGCTATTTTCAAGGATGAAAAAGTGCATTCCACCATTTTTATTTTAAGCAGTTTATTAACTGGTCATAATATAACTTCTCAATCATGAAATAAATCATTTGTAGAAGAGATTTGTCTAGTACCTGCAATAAACTAGGAATTAAACCAGCATATAGAGCAGGAACACCTCCTTGATGAACTATTTTGATACAAGTTGCTATTGCACTTAACTTTGTAGCTTGCACCTGCATTTGGAGATGTCTCCTCACAATTTCAAATGGATAAGTTGCAGCTTCAGAACAAACACCAGCAATTGCCCCATATAGCAATGTTCTAATGGGACCCAACTCTAATTGATCCAATACATTTAATTCTTCACCTTCTTGTTTCATTTGTTGAAGCCTCTTCCTCCCTTTCGGTGAACGGAGATATGCTGACTTCAGGATATCATAAACACCATAAAAAACTGCACCTGATGGAGCCATACTCACAAGAGAGGGTACTATACCCTTGTAAAGAGAAAAGAACCCTTCAGTTTGGATCATATGGCGGAAAGCACCAACTACACCACCCAATGCTTCCCCACCAGGTGCTAACATAACTGTCCTTATCTGAAATATGATACATTTAGAGTCTTGAGAATCAAAATTATACATAACCATGTGAACATTAGAAGAAATGACCTATATTTCCAGCTGGTAGTTACAGCCACCAGAATTTTCTAAGTGTCAATCCTACCAAATTACCCTCACTGAAGGGGAATAAGAAAAATTGATAATTTGATTAACCTGTGGAGAAAATTATCAATAAGATACTAAACATCAGCTTGAAACAAAAATCAAAACAGGAATCAGAATGGCTGGATGCATTTGATGATAAAAGAAAAAAAAATTTAATTCCAGTTTAAATCTGATGGGGCTTCTACTAGGCCAACAACTATACCTGCCTACTGTAGCATGTATCCAGCCCTAAACTGTTCCACTTATGGAGCAAGATTCACAAGGAGATATCGTGTTTCTTTGCCTATATCATATCATTAATCAAATCTTACATTGAATTTATATGGAATAAATATCAATAAGCACAACTTGTCCGTAGTAAGTAATGAACAAGAAATGGTAGGCACTCTTTTTAAGTCTATCTAAAAACATGTCGTAATTACTTTCTGATTGGATATTTTAAGTATCTAACTTGTCTTGGATAAATGTTGATAACATTCGAACTGACATTATCTTAGGCCTGAACTAATGTTTACACTCTGAACTATGAAATGCTGATAGACTTAAGGGCCACTGGAGGGTTTTTCCAAATGCCATATCCATTATTTTATTTTGCTGGTCATAGTTTTCATATTAAAAACGAAATGGCTGCATAGAATTATCTAACAGGTGTCAGACACACACAAAAGAAATGGCTGCATCATGTCTTGAAGATGAAAATTCAAGTCCAGAAACATAATGAGACGATGAGAGATATGCATTCGCAAGTATACCCAATGCTTCAGGCAATCAAGAACAGGAAACCCAAAATTTCATTTCCACTCAGTAGTGACATAGACTAAGTGCAAACAAACTCATTTAAGCATGCTATTTTAAAATTTTAAGCTTGTCCAAGTCTTTCAAGTTTTAAAAGGTGATGCGACCATACATAAGACTACATAATGAAACATATATAAAGGCACTTTCATGTAAAGGAAATAAATTTCTGGCAAAGACAAAAAAAAAAGGCATAGCAGAAGTGATGCAACCAAAATTAGTAGTTTATAAATGGCACGTACAGTATCCATAGGTAGACAAAGCAAGCTAGCGGTGATTCCAGCTGCAGCACCAGCAAGAAACCTCTCAAAATTTGTGGCTTCTTCATTCCCGGATAATTTCAACAGATAACTTCTATATGTATCATAAGCATAGAAATTGATAGCCTTAAAAGGGGCAGTACGAAGAATATTGAGAAAGTTTCCTTTCCAAAAGCCTTTTGGCCCTTCAGAAGCTGCTATTGCCTTAATGAGTTCAAAAAGGCTCTTCTGCTCGCCACGAACTATGTATTCCAACTTCAGTCTCTCAAGAGGTGCAATCAAAGTTCTGTCACAAGAACAACAATTCTGTGTAAGTGGAACAAAAATAAATAATTTATATTAATAAATCATAAATCACAATCAAGTAAGAAGCAGAACACCAAAAGCCGGGACTTCACAGAAGCTAAGCATAAGTCTTTTATTGAGCAGCAGATGGCGTTCATGAATTCCTCATTAATTTTATGAAAATAGATTACCCTGAAAGCTTTTATTGCGAACAAGGGAAGTAGAAAATTCATCACTTTCACTCTAGTAATAAAAATTCCTTTTTCTCCTCTGATGTTATAGCTAGAGGCGCAGAGAAAGTCATGCCGTTCTGATTATTGTAAATTTACCCAAAAAGGGAAAAATACATAGAAAGCTAGGCTTTCTCTACTCCGAAGTTACTTAAGCCAAAAAGTCACTTTCACATTTGGGAGGAAACTTCTGTTGCTTGCTACTGGATTTGATAAAACTTAAAAATCAAAGTGCTTGTTGTCGTTTTCCTCAGTTATTTTGTCTGAGCATTGAAGTTAATGACATTAGTTATAGACAATGAGTAAAAACCATCAAGAATATATGATATAACTTGTAACTCCAGCTCTAAGGTCGTGCACGGATTATGAAATAAACTATAAGAAACACAAATATCTGACCATATGACAGGCGTATTTAATTCTTTTCAAGAAAAAAAAAATCAAGGAAAGAAGTTCAAACCTTGAAACAATCGCAGCAACGGCACCAGCCCACAAATGCTTGGTAGTATTCAAAGCACCTGATCCCCGCTCTTTAGCCTTCGTCTTCTCCACTTTGCGCTCACCAAAAACTGTTTCGTTCCCTGACAAGTTCGTGTCCCCATTTTGCCCCAACCTCTCTTCCGATTCCTCAACACAATCCTCCCCTTCCTCGCTCGATAAGCTCACAGCCAAGAACAACGGGCCCTTGATTCCATTTCCTCGCCGCAATTTCCCGAAGGTCAGCCTCTTATATCCAATACTACACGAATTAATCGCACCCTTATTCGTTGAAAACGAGGAAACAAACGAAGCAGGGACTGTTTGATCAAGGAACAAACCGCCAAGGGGAAGAGAGGGATGATCCAACCGTAGAGATTTAATCATCATAATCCCGAAGCAGCGATCTGCTCTGTAATTGCAGCGAAAGACCGATACAGACCGGATTCCGAAAATACGGTGTCGTTTTAAATAGTTGAAAGTCGAGCAACAAAAATGGCGACCACAACAGCAGCATCAGATTTATTCAAAACAACAATGAAGGAATACCAGCAACAACAGAAGAGGAGGCTTGAAGATGAAGAAAGAATTTTGATTGTTAGTTGATATATTTGGGGATAAGAAGTTGATATAAAAGGGAATCAAGGAAATGCTTGTGTGCTGCTTCTTTGTTCTTGTGCTCTGCTTGGCTTCCATCGCCACCATGAGTGCAGTTTTTGCCTTTGCTTTTATCGAGTTTCTTTTCGAAAGTGGGTGCTTGCTCACTGTCGTCGGCTGCAACAAACAATATTTTTCCTTTTAAGAATATGTATTCCTCTCTTCGGCCAATCACAGGCCGACATGTCTGCATTGCGTGACGTGACTACCAAACGAGTTCAAAGTTTTATAATTACTAGATGCTTAAATTATAATTATATATTTCTTATTTATTTTCAATTAAAATGTTCTCTAAATTAAACTACTACTTAATATATAAATATCACTGGATAGATATAAACTATATACTTTAGTTGGATAGATTAGCAGAGAGGTTGTCTGTTACAGTTTTGTGCATCTCGGTTTATTTTTAATATAGAAATTATATTATAATTAATAAAATATAAATTTTTAATTTTTAATTATATAAATAGTATATGTTAACTACTGAAATAGTTTATCATAAAAAATAAAAAATAAAATTATTTTTATAAACACTGTAAATTATTTGACGTTTAATAGTAGTTTATAACTGTTAATAATTTTTTGGAAATATATATATTAAAATTTCAATTAGAATAGTTTTATTTTGGATTGCCACGTTTGCCATTGATATTCATAATAGTTTTAAAATGTTAAATTTATCCCCTTAATAATTCAATAAGATTATCAAAGGTTAAAATTAAACTCAAAACTAAAAAATTATGCTTGACAATTTAAGTCACATCTTTAGGTGTCCCGTACCAAATGAGGAGGGTTAAAATCACAAATGCCACGATAACTTATAATTTTTTAAAAAGATAATTAATTTAAATGTTATTATATATATATATATAAACTTGCTTTAGAATTTAGAATTACTGTACTATATAATTTTACAATATCACATTTTTGTTTGTAACAAATTCTGAAATATGGTGAAATCTAATTACAAATTATCATTTACTTTAATTCTCATATTGTAAACTTATATTATAAAAATTAGAAAAAAAAAAAGAATCATATAGAACTAGAGCTGAAACTGTAACAATACATTTTAACTTCAATTAATTTTGATACAATTTAAAATATGTTATCTATAATTTCATGTAAAATCAACTTTTATTATTTTAAATAAAAATTTTATATCATTTAGTTAAATAAATGTATAAGTTCTATATATTTTTTATATGTGTCATAAATATAATTTAAATGAGATTAATTTTGATTTTCTCGCTCAAATTAACTATTAATATTAATTTTATTTTATTAAAAAATTTAAAAAAAAAACGTTCGTGTATATTAATCTA